ACAAACTACGAGAACAAAGCGTGGAACTTTTATTCGATCAAATAACTCTTTAGATTCAATGCATATGGAGAAAAAAAGATGTTAACTTGTAAGCATTTCCACTGTGAATGTAAATGATGGCATAGTTACCAAAGAAACTTATTCTTCACAATTCTACAATTTTTGTAATAATTAAAAGGGATAAGTTTTCTTCATCATTATTCCATATTCTACCTTCGACATGGACACTTGGAGTGGGCATCCATTTTTTATTCAATATAATTTAGGAAATTACTGAATTCACCTAATCAAAATCTGTTAGTGCGAGCTTCTTTTTGACCTGAAATGATACGTTCCTGAAATGATACCAGGGCAACGGGCCCATAAATCAGGCTAATAGAACTAGAGGAAGTAACTCCAACCACTATGAGCAACTACTGCTCAATAGTCTGGTTTGGTTATCAACAAGTTGGCCGAACCCCTTCTAACCCGACGAACCTAAATTTTTCTCCATATTCTTTCCTCGAACTGGCCCAAATGTTAGAGTGGATTTGACTTAGGTTTCGATAATGTCATGAAGAGAAGACAGGGTGGGACCAAGCTAATAGATTAGCTATGAAGAAGACCAAACTATAGAAAAGACTTCCATGTTATTCATACACCACTACATTGGCGTTACATATTAATAATAAATCAAGTTGAGAAGCACATGCAATGTCTCTTCTTTCTCTGATACTCTGAACAAATAAGATAATGTAATACAAATTCTCTCCGCATAACATTATACCAATGACATAAAACACGACGAAAATGGTGTACGTATATTATATGCAAGTCCTTCTCCTAACTAGCCTGCCGTATGAGTTAGGCAATGAAGAAGCCCTTACCGTAAAGATTGGCGCGAATGTACTGCCGCCAATCTTTACAGCATAGTAAACGATGTGAATAACGAAAAGGGAAATTTTCTTTGAACCCATGTAACCTCTTTCTACACCCAACTTAAATTTAAATTGTTAGTTGTCTATTTTACCCTATTGCATAATTACTATTAAGTACAAAATGAAATTAATAATAAAATTCAAATTTATCAATAAACCCATTAAACCCTACCATCACTCCTTGTTTATCCTACGTTCAATCTAACTAAAACCCTAATAGGTCTTGTAGCGAATGTACTACCGCCAATCTTTACAGCATAGTAAACGATGTGAATAACGAAAAGGGAAATTTTCTTTGAACCCATGTAACCTCTTTCTACACCCAACTTAAATTTAAATTGTTAATTGTCTATTTTACCCTATTGCATAATTACTATTAAGTACAAAATGAAATTAATAATAAAATTCAAATTTATCAATAAACCCATTAAACCCTACCATCACTCCTTGTTTATCCTACGTTCAATCTAACTAAAACCCTAATAGGTCTTGTAGAGAAAAACAAACTTTTTTATTGATGGATGGTGATTTTGAAGTTTTGAATCTTCCAACTTGGGTATGACTCAATTTATGAATATTCTCTTCGGTTGATTTCAATTTTTTTTAAAGTTTAAAAGATGAGTATTTGGGTTTCAATTTTTTTCATCAATTCCGAATGGTTTGTTAAACTTTCTGCAATTGAAAAATTCTAAGGAAAAACTTCTTACCAATATTCTTAGATTATAAACTTCCTTGCTAGTTGATAAATATAAGGGGATGAATTGTTTGATTTGTTGCTTATGCACATCAGTAGAAATAAAAAAGGTAAATGTTTGTGTTTGGTAGCAAAATAAAAAAAGAAAAAGAAAAAAGGTAGCCATGGAAATGCTATTGGGAGGAGTGGTGGGGCAAGGACGGCTCTCTTTTTTTTTCAAAAAAAAAAAATCAATTACATATGTTATTTACATAGATTCAAATAAAATTTCTCTAAGGAAAATCGATCCACATGCGTGCAAATCAATGGGAGTGAAGAAGCCCTTGCCGTGTGGATTGGCCAATCCTGGTGTATTGACAAATATGTAACCTGCAGCCAACCGTTTTTTACTAAATTCAGCATGCATAGAATTTCTGTACAATATTATTGCGCTGAAACGTGAGATTTGGACAAGGATTGGTGTCCACTTCTGAATTCTTGTATGCAAAGATTTATCTTTTCGTACTTGCAATATTAATATTCCAGATCAAATGAGACTATGAGAGGCAACTCAGCTACGTCTCTTATTAGGTCTCAGCCAGTTGTTTCACTTAAAAGAAACACATATTTAAGATTTCGTTTTCCAGATTTTTGAACAGTTGAACCCCTTTTGTCAAATCGGGTCAACCGATTCCACCCACCCTTTACTCTCACACTCACAGAGATTTCAACCAAAATGTGCATGGCTTTAGGTTCTGAGAAATTAAATTAAGCTCCTTACTCATTCTCTTTTTATGTGCATACACTCCAAGAAAGTGTTTCGAGTATTTTGAAGAACCCTAGTTAGGAATTAAATCCATTGCTTGGCAGGAAATTAATAAAAATTAAATAGCACTCTAAGAAAAATATATATGATGAGAATTAAAAAGATAACTCGTTCGTATATATTTGTCACACCCACCATGGAAAATGGATAGTCATAACTTTACTTGTAAGCTTACAATTTTCGGTGGCATGCACAGAAGTAGAATTCCAGAAACCAGCTTCTGTCCACACAGAAAAAAAAAAAAGAAACCAGGTTCTATGCACATTGCCTAATTCTTCACTAAAAGTTGTAGTGAAAGTAGCGTATAAGTGCTTCTCTATAGCATCTATGATGTTTTTGTTACCATTTTTTTTTTTTTTTGACCTAAATTATAACCTGGGTTGTAGTTTTATCTATGCAAAGGCTAATTACCGCCTTACACTATATATTTGTGGTCCTTAGAATATGACCCACGTTGTACTACAGATCAATTTTGTCAACTGACTCTGTCAATTTTCCTGTCAAATGAAAAGGCAAATGAGGAATTTTATTTCCCAGCTTAAATAATTAAAAATTAGTGTGAACACACTCATCATTTTTCTGAAGTCATTTTAGAGTGTTACGGTTAAAAGGATGCACACATGCATGTTATTGAGTTACATGTTCTTTTAGTTGTAAGTGCTTTATTAGAACACTAAATTAGTAATTAATTAAGATTTTCAACCTAACGGTCTAATTATTATCAGACATGAAAAGTGCGAGCATAGTCACTCGTGCACATGAGTGACTTCCAATTGTATCCTACAATAACATTCTATGATCAAACAAGAAAAATGCTAGAGGCAGTTACCCATATACATAAGTGATTCTCAACTATTGGTGTAATGTTATCACACAATAACAATATCATATCATACGTTAAAACAAGAGATAAACCTTATACTAAAAAGTTGGATTTTAAATCTCAATTTCTTGTACCTATATATGCAAGGCCTGGTTCATGCAAGCATCATCTTTCTAAATTACAATGTAAGCATGATCTTTCTAAATTATCATGTAAGCATCATCTTTCTAAATCAAGAAATTAACCATATTGTAAGCCAATGTCATGTACAAGGATTGAAAATGATACCGCGTACCTTAACATGTCGACGTCGGCCGGAGGTGGCATTTGCTTAGGGCCAGTGACGAAAGCAACAATAAGACAGTTAAAAACAAGTTCAAACCCCACCCAATTAATCAGTAAATAATGATTTGATCCGGTTAACTAATTAAACACACCCCATAAGCAAATATCTTCCACGCACCTACTCAATCGACCACAAATTAACAATATAAACCCCTCACTAATTACCTTTTTTCTGAAAATATGAGTACACTCCTTGCAATTCAATTTTCTTTAATTAAAACCCATCATGATAAATTTCTCTAACAAAAACCCAATGACTAGGCTCCAACTAAGCAATATCCATAATTAAGTTTCACTTGGCAAAATTTGTATTTTTGGATGTCTAAATTACCCCTAATAACACTTACTTTGGGTCTCTCACTTATTATCTCCATTTATTTTACATTATTTCATTCAATTAAATGTTTACATGATACCAATGTTCCTTATATAGTTGTTTTCACATGATGCTAACAAGTAAATTAGTATATCCTACAAATATAAAAAAAGTTAATTTATTCAAAATTATCAATATTTTAAATGTAACATAAGTAAATTATTTTGCCCAACATATATAACAATATAAGTTCCTAGTAAATTATGTAATGATATATGTAAAATAATTTACCTACAAAATAAATAAATATTTTTTATTCAAAATTAATTAAATACCAATATTTTGCAATATATATATATATATATAACAATTTACCTACATGCAAAATAATTTACCTACAAAATAAAAAAATGTCGATTGATTGCACACTCTATATAATAATAACAAAATGTGGCTAGTACATATGTAATATCACATCAAAAATAATTTACCTACAAAATAAATAAATGTTTTTTGCCAATTGATTCAAATTAATTAATTGCATATTATTTTACATAAAAATATAGATAAATTATTTGTACGCATATATATAATTTTAACAAAATGTGTCTAATACATACATGCAAAATAATTTACCAACAATGATTGTCAAACAAATAAAAGAAATGAAATATATGATGGTAAGAGAAGTATAAAGTAGATAATTTTATAATAATAAGGCACTTATGTCTCACAATTATGGTGGATAATTAAATTCATTAACATAATTAGAGTGTTGTGGCACAATTGTAAATAGTTTGAAAATAATAGGTATTTATTTGTTTACATGGCAGTCTACTTCAAATTTGGGTTTTATTTGGATGTTTAAAATGAAATGGGTTTTTGTCAAGAAAATAAGTGTTGCATAGACTTGTATCTAAAGAACCCTAAATTTTTTTATTAGGTTTTCGTGTACATATTTCCACGTACAGTCAATTTCCTATCAACTAATTGGCAGCGACTTGTATGCCCCAAATTTCCCAACAACTCTTCCTACGAAACTTCAACATTTTAGTTTATATCGATCTTTATATATACACCCGTCTCACTTTTTCTCTTATTATATACTGCTCGATCGGCCAATTCTAGAACCACAACACTAATATAGCCAGCTAAAATGGAAGCCCTACCTATTTTCTCCGCCCTATTTGCTGCCGCATCCGTATACCTCTTCTGGTTCTACCTCTTGGCTCGAAAACTCACTGGACCAAGCGTCTGGCCGGTCGTGGGCAGCATTCCATTTCTGTTCTCAAACCGGAATCAAATCCACGATTGGATCACAAACAACCTCCGCGCCACCGGGGTTTCAGCCACATATCAAACATGCACGCTCGCTCTCCCTTTCCTGGCTCGCAGGCAAGGGTTGTTCACCGTGACATGCAACCCTAAAAACATCGAACATATTCTCCGAACACGGTTCGATAATTATCCCAAGGGACCGACGTACCAGGCAGCATTTCACGATCTTTTGGGGGAGGGGATATTCAATAGCGACGGAGAGACGTGGCTGACACAGAGGAAGACGGCCGCGTTGGAGTTCACGACGCGGACATTGCGGCAGGCCATGGCTCGGTGGGTGAACCGGACGATCAGGAACCGGCTTTGGTTCATTTTGGATAAGGCGGCGAGAGATCACATCGCGGTGGACTTGCAGGACCTTTTGCTTCGCTTGACTTTCGACAACATTTGTGGACTCACATTTGGTAAGCAGCCCCCAAGTTTATGTTATAATTACACTATCACCCCTGAGCTCGCATAATATCTATTCATGTATTGATATTCAAACTAACATTTTCCCACCAGGCAAGGACCCGGAAACGCTGTCGCCGGAGCTACCCGACAACCCGTTTTCGAAGGCATTCGACAACGCCACCGAAGCCACTCTCAAGCGCCTCCTCTATCCTTCCTTCCTATGGAGAATCCAGAAGCTTTTCGGCCTCGGCGCCGAGCGACAGCTGGAGAAGAGCCTCGAAGTCGTTGGGGACTATATGAACGACGCCGTCGCCGCACGCAAGTTGACGCCGTCCGACGACCTCATCTCTCGCTTCATGAACAAGCGCGACATCGACGGCAACCCGTTCCCCAGCGCCGTCCTCCAGCGGATAGCCCTCAACTTTGTCCTCGCCGGCCGCGACACCTCGTCGGTGGCGCTCAGCTGGTTCTTCCACCTTGTCATGGAAAATCCACAAATCGAGGAGAAAATCGTCGCCGAGATCTCGACAGTCCTGAAACAGACACGTGGCGATGATCCGCGACTCTGGGTCAAGGAGCCTTTGGTTTTCGACGAGGCGGATAAGCTGGTTTATTTGAAGGCGGCGCTGTCTGAGACTTTACGATTATACCCCTCCGTGCCGGAGGATTTTAAGTACGTCGTGAACGACGACATTCTGCCGGACGGGACTTTCGTGCCGGCCGGTTCGACAGTGACGTATTCGATTTACTCGGTGGGGAGGATGAAGAGCATCTGGGGGGAAGATTGCATGGAGTTTAAACCGGACCGGTGGATCTCCGCCGACGGGAAGTTCGAACCGCCCAAGGACGGTTACAAGTTCGTGGCGTTCAATGCTGGACCGAGGACTTGTTTGGGGAAGGACTTGGCTTACCTGCAGATGAAGTCGGTGGCTTCCGCCGTGCTCTTGCGTTACCGGCTGTCTCTGGTTCCCGGATTCCGGGCCCAGCAGAAGATGTCACTCACGCTCTTCATGAAGGACGGGCTTCAGGTGTATTTGCATCCACGTAAGCTTGGAGGTGGGCCAGATCAAGTTACTCAGGCCGCTGCCACCTCAGCATAGGCAGGGGTATTTTCGAGATTCAGAAAAACTATGGCATGTGTACTTTGGTGGCTAGTGGGTAAGAGAGATTTTTTAAAGTTCGTTTAGATGTATTTTTAAAATGACTGAAAGCGTTTTTAGTGAAAATGTTTTTGAAACCAATCCTTAGTAAAAATGCAAGTAAATTCTGGAAAATCACTTAAAGTGCTTCTTGGATGAAACACATAACTATTGCTTCTTGCAGAAAGCACTTTAAGTGTTTTTGGAACCAAAAAACATTTTCTCTAAAAGCACTTTCAGTCATTTTAAAAACACATCCAAACGAGTTCTTAGTATGCTGGAAACACGGTTTGGAATACTAAGTGTTATAATATAATTGGCTTAAAATTAAAAAAGAATTTAGCCAATTGTATTTTGACACTTGATGTTTCGAGTTGTGTTCCTGACACACTAAAAAATTTCTTGGTTGTAATTAAGAAAAATGTATACGTTGTCAATTGTTGGTCTTGTTGGGTGGGTTAAGTTAAAAAGTGGGTTGAATGGGTGAGTGATGGTTGCTCATCTAAGTTGGAAGATTTGATGATGTCTTTGTGTTGTTAATTATATTCCATATTATTTGATGTGTTTTTTATTAATACTTTTATTAATAAAATGTAAATGTACACTCTTTAACCTATTCTATATATGTAGTAGTTAAACTAGATTGCCAATTGTTTTAACATTTTTAATTTAGTTAGGGGTGATGTTTTTGTTTTGCACAAACGAAGCGAAGGAGGGAGAATCGAATGTCACTTATCCGAGAGATATGATTAACAAATCATTAGTAGCTAACCAACTTGTAGGAGGGAGTCTATCTTCTAATTTGAAGTTGCACACAATTTTTCTCTCTTCAAAAAATTGAATGTAATAAATTATTTCTTTCCACCCAATCCTAAACACCAACTTGTATGATGATATTGTAGGAGGATTACAAGGTAAATTTTCGATGTAATTGATGTACCAACTTGTATAATGATTCAATGTTAAAGAATGAAGCAGATGTCACTTTATCGCAGTGGCGGAAAACAATAATGCGTATGCAGTGATGCAGTTCTGCAGTTCGATCATCACCGATCCCATTTCCTCTAACATTTAACAATTTAACCCATTAAAACTATTGTTTATAAGAAGAAACAACAGTTTAAGAATGATTCAAAAGGGTATATTAATGGGAAATGCATATACATGCAGATTACAATATATTGCTACATAACCATAATTATTTGAATTGTTAGTATTTGATACAACATTTACAGAAAATGGCTGTGCGTTGAGGTCATTTAATTTTTCTGTATATTCATCTTTCATGAAAATGGGTATGAAATGCAACCAAATTTACCAAACGCCGTTTCAGATTTCGAGCTCGCCGTTCCATTTCAAAATCTTCGAACAATTCTCCTTCAAGTCCAAGAATATCAACAAAAAGATGTAGCTTTCCTTGCAAATTGAATTTCATGGCGTTTTTGGTACTTCTGTATTTGGGATCGAAGCCCCGCCCCGAGCGATTGTTAAGGATAAAGTTATCTGTGAACTAATCTATGACCTTTTCGCCGGTTGAGAAAAGATTCCAGACAACAGTTCCGACCAGGTAAAGCCCTACTGAAACCTTGAACACATCGTCCCAAGAACCTGGAAATAGTCAATGTGGAGAGGGAGGGATGTTAGAACTTAGAAACTGCTTGCTGCCTAGAGCTTACAACTTGATGTCCTGACTGGATGTCGAGGCCAAAAATTTATGGCCAATTTGATTTCCACATGTGTGAAATGAAAACTAAAATCTGCAACAGATGGAGACTAACCATGTTGTAAGATGTAACCAGTGGACGCTGTTCCAAATACACCTGCCAGCACTCCGGCGGTATTTGACAGACCAAGCAATACCCCCTGAGAAACATTTGGAAAAAAGATAATTAGAACCATATTTACTCTTCACTCTGCCATACAATACTACAAATCCGAACGCGTGCATTGGCAAGTGATCGACAGGCTTATGTTGGAACTTAGTAGGATGTTTGATCCCACGGTTAAATTACACGGATCAAATTTGAACATACAAGCCAAAACCAGATACTAAAACCAATACTTACAGAATATCGTGGGGCAATATCTTGATGGTTTGAATATAGACCAGATTGTGAGAATGCATCAGTTCCCTATCCAAGCAAAAGAGACAAAAACAAGATAAGGCAAATGATAGCAAATGAACAACCAAAATATTAAGCAATTGTACCAAGCTTTGAAAAGAAGCATACCTGACTGCATGCCATACATAGAACAGCCATTGCAGGAGAATTAATATGGCTCAACTGTGTTAGGAAGAAAGCGGGGCCTAAAAACCCAATTGTTTGCATAATCTGCAATGGATGATATAGATTAGCAACGCAGACAGCTGATTTAGAGAAATGTGATTTTCTAGGAAGATTGTTCCCCAGATACTGTTTGGTTTAGATAAAAAAAGATGATGTTAATGTAATACCTTCCGAACCCTTGTCACGGAGAAACCCTTACTGACTAGTGTGTCTGCAATCCAACCGCCAAGATTTGCAGAAAATGCCATTGTTAACCAGGGCAGGACGCAGAATAGCCCTGATTCGGTAAGATTGAACTTCAGTACCTAATGGTTGGATTAATGTAAAATCAGTATTCAACTTGCAATTTCAGGCCCGATTGAACACTTTGCCACTCTGCAGCAACAAGCATTAACCCATTTCATAGTACCGTCTATTTTGACAAAGCCACAAGAAAGTTAATTTATATACTAGAAGGAAAACTAGGCAGCATGAAACTAGGGTAACAAATGCAAGAAATTATGACTTACTTGGTTATAGTATGTTGGCATCCATGTGAGAAGAATAAATGTACCCCAATTGTGGCAGAAGTGAGACACTATCAGGGCCCAAACAGGTGCTTTTGACAAAATTAATTTCCAAGGAATCACTTTAACAGGTTCCTTGGAAATACTACTTGCAAGAATAAGCTTCTTCTCCGCCGGTCGCAGCTCTGGATCCTCGAGAGGTGAACTATGTGCCTACATCAACAGCCCCATGAAAAAAAAAATCAAATATTAATCTTATACATCAGTATTGGAAAAATGATGACATTGCTTACAAATAACCAAACTTCAAGAGAAAAGTCGTAACTTATCTTGCAAGTAACATGCTTCTTGACAAAACCGTACTATTCTATGTGGGGGATTTTAAAATATCGCTCACCTTACTTAGCCATACAGCGAACCAGACCGTCCCCAGGGAACCAAAGGAGTAAAAGACTGATGGCCATCCAAACTGATGTATTAGATATGGCGAAAAGGCCAAGCCGGTGACCGATCCAAGATACATTCCACTGTAAACCAGAGCCAAAGATCGACTTCTCTCTGCTACAGGAATCCATTTTGACAGTATATTATTCATGGCAGGCATAGCAACACCCTGAACCGAAAAGCAGACTAAGTGAATAGTAATTAGTAAAATTTAACAAATAACCATAGTGATTAGGAATTAGTAATTAGCAAAAGTTAACGAATAATCATAGATATTAGTAACTGATAAGCAAACTACTTCCTACATATTAGATATGACTGATGAATTTTAGAAGACCAACCTCACCAATCCCCATGAAAGCGCGAACAACTAGTAGGAAAGGCAATCCAATTTTAGCAGCAACAGGAGTGAGAATAGTAGCAATGGACCACCAAATGACTCCAAATGCCAGTACTTGCTTCCCACCTACTGTGTCTGCCCATATTCCACCAGCAATCTGCCACTCACAGTTATAAGTTAACAAAAAAAAATATAAAATAAAATAAAAAAAGATGAAACACCAAAGTGTTGAGTCCCCGGGGTTAACCCAAGTAGCGAGGGAAGGCGGAGTAATAGGTTAGGATTATGGTAAGTTCAAGATTTTGATTCCCTTCAACATAACTAAAAGAAAAACCGATATGTTAATCTCATCGGCTATACAATTTAAATTCAGTAGGAAAGGATTTAGGCCTATATGGTTATCTGCTTAATGTTGTTTGACAACACGATATTCTAAACTACTCTAATCTATAGAAAAATGGGTTTAATAAACTCAGGTGCAATAAAGCGGGCACATTACTCTGATCAACTCGCTTAACCCTATCGCATATAAACTCAAATTGAGAGCTTATAAAGCAAGTTCAAACATGTAATTACTGATTAGGAGAAGTGCATAAATGTAATTAACCTGAGTGAGGAGGTATCCCCAGAAGAAAGAAGATTGTATCAAACCCACAGTTGCTGGGTTCCAATTGTACTCTGCTGACATGGGCAGTATTGCAATGCTCATATTTACCTGCCATAATTCACACAAAAAGTTACTTTTTAACTGCCGTGATTAACTTCCATCTTCCATTTTTAACATTCCCAAATTGCAGAACCATTAAAGCTTCGAGCTTTAAGCTTACTCTGTCCATGTTGCATAGAAGGAAAGCCGAAAAGCACAAAACGACAATGACCCATCGTTTCGGAAACTCTTGTAACCACGAAACCTCCGCCGCAGACTCCGCTTCCAAATCCTCCTTCACCGAAACGACATCGCTCAACCCCTTGTCGAACTTATCCACGGATTCCGATATGTTGTACGCCTCCGATTTAACGTCCGCAAACACTTTCCCGCCCCTCCGGTTTCCGCCTCCGCCGCCCGAAACGCGAACGAAGCAGCAGTACTGCTCCCTGTTCCGAATCCGCACTCGAAACCGAAACGGCGTTTGGGGTCTCGGGTTATCGGCGCTGAAACTTCTCTTGGTGGCCGAAAAATCGGGCGGGGCGATATTGGGCTTCGGAGAGAAGGAGTAAAGAAGTGCTCTGGCGTTCATGGTTTCCAGATCATGAAACGACTCGTTGAGTCACTGAGTTACTGTGTCGCTGAGTGACTGTTCCGAGTTCTGAGCATCGCAGCGCGCGAGACGCATGCTATAAGGTCGGGGAAGATTTCGGAGAGGGCAAATGTGGAGGGATATTTATCTGCACTGGCTGAGGTTAGAACACGTGGCGGTTGCACGGAAGGGATTTGGATTGTTGAGGGTAAGGTTAGGAGGCGGACGGTTATTTCCGCTTTGTTTTGGGTTGGCGGGTGGTTAACTGAAAATTGAATTAGAATTGCTATTTAATGCTTCTCAATGGACTGGGCTGTGGCATTTGGAAAGGTTTGGGCTTAGGCTTCTATTTCAAACTATAGGGCTTGCTCTTGGGAGGCTAAATTTTTATTTCTCTTTACAGTTAAACACGTTTCTGACTTAAGTGAATATTTTTTTAATGCACATCAAAAGTGCACACTTAAATAACACATCTGAAAAAGAATCGCTAGATTCCGTTAATTAAGTGATTTAACTACTGTTATTTAAACATGTAACTTAAATGTGCACTTTTGATGTTCTTTAGAGAAAGTCTCATGACTTAAGAATGTTCGTGAACTATGAAAGCGTCTTTTGAAGAATCACATGTCATATGCTTATTTCAAAAGTAATTTTAAGTGGATTTTCTACAAGGCACTAACAACTAACGATTCAATCAATTAACGTTATCGTTTGTAAGAAACAAAATTCCCTCATCCAACCGTTTTTTTTCAATCGAAATTTTCTTTGAATTTTTTATATTTACACTAAGTAGTGCGTGGACCATATCTCATTGTTTTATTAAAACCCGTGATTTTACTGTCCAAAATGTTCAAGCTAAACTCGGGCTAATGGAGTGTCTAGCTTTTGGTTTGCCCCTCGTGCGTGCTGATCATTTGCAATATATCAACTTAAAGCCCATAGTCAAACAATTAGTCGATATATGACAAATGATCACCACGCATTAATGGTGGAAGCTCGTTCTCTTAGTCACTTGGTCACCTTCACTTACTTTGATGTCAAGCTATTAGTGGTGGAAGCTCGTTCTTGGGCTGATGGTGTGTCCTCCCACATTTGGTTGCGAGGCTGCGCTCACAAACTTTAGTTCGAAAGCTGAATCTTGCTTACAAGCGAGAATATTCAAATAGTGAACTTCGGCCTTAGGCATTATCCATTTACAAGTACTATTATACTTCGTAACATTTTTTTCTCAACCAACATGATATTATCATATACAGTAAGATTGTTTTTCAATACCAAGGTAGTGTGCACGTCGAGTGCTATTAAACATTTCCCATTCATATATATAGGGTTAAGATTTGGAGACATTCATTTTTTTACACCTATTTTGTAGAACTCACTTCGTATTGTCTTTCAACAATCCAAAACGTCTATATTTGAATTCACTATACATAGATCATCCTTATAAAAAAATTAAGCAATACAAAACCATTAAGACATTTATTTGTAGTGAAGAAAATGAACGAATACGGTTTTGCAAATAAACACTAAAATGACTATTGTTTAATCCAACGGTTGTTTGGTTTTTAAATTTGGGTGATTTTAGTAGACATGGTCTAAGAGAAGATTCGTGACATCGATTTTTCATTTTTGGCATAATGTTAAACCCCACCCCCCAATATTTGTAATTTTACTTTTGTACCCTAAAGTTTTATTGAAATCACATTTTAGTCCCTTTATCCTTAACCAAATCCGAACCCTCCCTTTAGATTCTCCTTCCCTCTTAGCTTGCCACGTGGCAGTCCTTAACCTTATCCCTCTTCTTTTCTCATTCTTTTCCTCGATCTCTCTCTCAACTTTCTATCTCTCTCAGCTTACCTTCCCTCTCATTCCCGGCAACACACCCATGTCGATACCCAATGGAACACCCCGACAATGACAACACCCTTGCCACATTCACCATCGTGGTAACTCTCTCCCTCTTTCTCTTCTCGGTGAAGCATAGAGGCCACCCAACCCATCCGCGAGCTCGATTACTTCGAGCCTAGATTCAGGCCACCTCCAGCTACCCCTTGTCGTGAAACAGGTTTGGAAACTCTCCCTCTCCTCCTAAGCTTCCTTTTGGTACCTAAATCATACCCTAGGGTGGTAGATCGATGTTGACTGGAGCACGGGAGGCTCCGTCCTCTTTCCCTGACGAGGACAAGCAACCCAGGACCTTTGGGCCTAAACCCCAAGCCCAAAGCTTTAGGGCAACCCAAACCCAAATTCTTGTTAGATTAAGCCTCTAGGCTGTAAGGGACTTGGGCCTTAGGCCCGTTAACCTTTTTATTTTATTTATTTATTTTTATTTTCTAAAACCCAAAGGCATTGGGCCAGGCTTTCAAGCTCAAACCCTTTATATAGAACCTAAGGCCCTCGGCCCGTTTAACCCTAAACCTTTTCCCCTTGGGCTAGGTTACCAGCCCACTGACCCAAAGCCAAACCCGGATCCAACCCAGGCCCAGACCCGTTGCCTTTGACTTTGATCGGTCAACGGTCAATGTTGACTTTTGTTGACTTTTTTGGTGTTTCATCTGGGACCTCTCCTAGGCTAATTTCGACGTTTTATGACGTCCATTTCTTGAAATTCAATCATTTGAGTATAGTTTCGTTAATTGTACCTTTTATGTGCTTAGGTGCAATTATTAGCGGTGATTCCGTCATTCCTATTTCATACGGCTCTACGACGACAGAGTATCTGTGAGTGGACCCCTTCTAAAATGCATGTTTTAATAGTAGAAATGCATACATGAAAAACATGATTTAATGATTACGTTTTGTGAAAACATTTTATAAGCAATTTGGATTTACACTTATGGATTATCATGCTATACTATGAATATTTTGGAATACCATATTTTATCGAACTAATGTTCTTTATAGTATATATGATGAATGACTATTTACTATTTATGAACATGTTTTCTTTACACTTCTTTATAGTATATATGATAGATGACTATATGCTACGAAGATTATTTTAAGATATATGTACTTATGTTTTGGGAAAGACTACATTCAATGTTTTTGTGCGTATCTGGTGGTCGTTGTGCTGCCTACAAGCGATGATACTTATATTGGCTTCGGCCGAGCGTAGGTTGGTGCCTGTTTGGCAAATGAAGTGTTCTAAATGAAGAGTTCTCTATGCCTTCTGACGATATTGATACCACTAGTTAGCACACTATATACAAGATATGTTTTATGAAAGGTTTTATGGTATGCTACGGTTTTCAGAAAACCTATCACATATTATGCTATTAGTTTTCATAAAACTTTGGGGGTTAGTATGTTGATAACTGTTTCAATATTATATATATTTATCAACTTGGTCCACTCATGTTTGTTTTACGCCCCCTCAGGATATAGGAACGAGGATTACGACCCGTGCTACGAGGCTTTCCCCTACCAGTGATATCGTGCCATCACCTCTGCTTTGACATCTTTGTGATTGCACCTTCCATTGTATTCTGAATTAGATGTATGCTCTAAACATGTTATGTATTATCAATGTATTTTCATTGTTGGTAGTTGAATATTATTTATATCACTATCTTCACGCAGAAATGAATAGTCACATCTTATTATTTTGCTATAATTTTATACGCATGATTTACATGTTCTCAGCATATGCATTCATTAAAAGGAAAACTAACGAAAAGTCCAAAAAAACTTATCTTTTAACGAAAAGCTCTTTTTAAAGGTATAGTGAATAGTACCAGTTAAAGGTAAAAATGTGGTTTTTCGTTAAAAATGAACATTACCGGGAGTGTTTTGTTAAAACTTCTTTCATTAAATGGCTTGCGTCACTTTCGGGTGTGGGCCAGCACGTGGCCATCCCGATGTCCCTAGGACATCAGGATCGGTGTGTCACATAATGTGAGATGATTATATCTTCTTGTATGCAAAATTGACTCCAAAATGGGTCCAATTTTTGTTCCCTCAATGATCTTACTTGAAATATTTTCCCTAATGTCCCTGTAAAATAACTTTCATAAAACTTGTGTCCCAATGAAATTTGTTCTCTTGGGTCACTCATTAGCCATCATACCTTGCAAAAGAAAATGCCTAAACTGCGCATAAAGTCCACAGTTCTTTCAGATATTCAAGCTCAAGGTTCTTATACAAGTAATTGCAATGATGACTACAACGTCGTGGATGGAACCAAAACGCTTTGTAGGTCAGTCGTGTCAAGCAATTAGAGTTTCAGAAGGAAGGCTTTTTTCTATAAAAACTGAAAACTTATTGCTAAAGACTCCTTCAGCTTTCGACAAAAGACTTTTGAGCTTTGATCCCACCACATGTAAGAGAATTATCAAATGAATTGTGTAGCCTATATGTAAGAAGAAAGGCTTTTTTTCTATAAAAACTGAAAACTTATTGCTAAAGACTCCTTCAGCTTTTGACAAAAGACTTTTGAGCTTTGATCCCACCACATATAAGAAGAATTATCAAATGAATTGTGTAGCCTATATGCATCAACGCTCCGCATTCATCCATGTATGCACGATGTGTGATTCTATTATCAATTTCTTCAACGCTTTTTCTTATTGGAGCAATATCTTGATCGATTAATATATTTTAAACTATAAAGAAGGAGATTCAAACTTTGATGTAGAAAGATAAGTATACTGCTCTAGCCGATTCAAACTTTAAATCCAGGTCTATATCTTCCACTCCTTTTATATTTATACAAGTTCCGAAGATATGAATGAGATTCACTTCGAACGATCACATAATTGTTGATGCAGATCCTAACTAGTAACAACTGAATACCCGAATGAGAAAACAAGTTTCCTCACCAAATGAACAACAAATTGATACTCTCCATACTCAGTGACGTTTAGCACACATGAGCTCCTTAGATGAGGATTATATAAGGTGCATTTTTGCTAAACACTCTTTAAGTGTGTCAGGAACATAGCTCGGTATCCTAAATGTCATAACATTATTGGTGGAATTTTGTTTTTCAAGTTTCAAACCAATTGTATTATTATACTTAGTGTACCGGAATGTGTTCCCGACACATTGAAAAATCTTTCAAGTGGTGATAATGTTCATCACCTACTTATTGTCATTGAATGATTTTAAAATGTGAAATTTATGTTTATTTACTACACAGATATCAAATTTAAACTTATCTAACAAAAATAAACATGGTAATAAGCAACTCCATTACTTGAGGATGATGAGGAAAAATAATATATAGCCTCAAGCCCTCATAGTGTATCATGAATGATAAGATAGTTTATTTCCATACATGATTAACAATTGAAATGGTGACCAATTAAAGCTGCCCTTCCCAAGTGACATCATATTATCACGTACGCATATTTGGTCACCAATTGAATTACGGATTTGGATCCCATCCGGATCCAAATTGTGGGGCTTTTAAGGACCCTTACATCTTAGTCATTCACTGTGTATCGTGCGATAAAAAATCATTTAATTTTTTTTATTTAAAATTAAATATAAATAATACCTGACGAAAACTGCATGCACGATATACGATAAACGGTTAGAATGTGGAAATCCTTAGGATTCCCGCAAAGTAGATCCGGGGAAGATCCTGTTCCGGTAGAAGAATTCACACCATCATTACCCACTAATCTAAAAGCAAATCAATGTCGGCATCTTTCTCCTACTGACTGGGGCAAAGGAGAAAGGAAATAATACCTAGTCAAGATAGAAAAAACAATTTCTTTGCTGTGCAAATGAAAGCTTTACTAAAAGATAAAAACAGCACTGCAGAAGCTTCTTTTACTTCTTTTTCTTCCTCTTTAGCCTGGTGTGTTTTTACTTCTTCTTTAAGTCAACAATATGGTCCAAGTCAAGCGCACTGTTAGTCAATTTTTCTTTAATAGTACGAGACTATTGAGTAATCTGAAAAATAAATAGTAGAAATTGATCTTAAGATTTATTTTAAGAATTCAAACGGTGAAGATTGTTTAAAAAGTAAGATTACTTGTGGGTTAAATTGACCCTAAGATTCATTTTAAGAATTCAAAGGGTGAAAATTGTTTAAAAAGTAAGACTACTTGTGGGTTAAACTACCGCAAACCCTCAGTTAGCATGCAAGGTTTTATGAAGAGTTAATGATCTCATTCAGATTCAGGATGGAACTTCATCTTCCTTAATTGTACTAAAGCATATTAACTTACATGACGTTATGTGTGAAACTTTACAAAAACTTATAAGAAATTGCGCCATTCATCTATTGTCAATTGGTTTAAAAAGTGAAACCTCATTTTCTTTCAAATTTTCATAAAACTGAGGCTAAACGTATGTGGACCTATTGAAAATGTTACATTTTCGAGTTTCTACTCTAAAATTTTCACAATTTAGTGCGATTAATTTTGTACTTAATTTCCCATTAAGGTAGGTCATAGGCCAATTATGTACCATGATTACCTCTTATTATAAGATAGAAGTGGGGAGATTCCAGAACAATATTTCATCAGCCAAAGACGAATCATATTGGCCTACCATAAAAGAAAGCTAGGACGCGATTTGAAATAATGAAAACCGTTGTGGCATATATATTGATGTTAATCAAACCAATATATCACGAGATAAAGTATAATTCTACTTTGTTTGATGAATCCATCGAAATCCTATTTTAATTTAAGGAGAGGGGCAGATTACATCGGTTTGGTTTGACAATAAAAAATATAACTGAATCAAATAGTATTCAGTGGTTCAGTTCGATTCAATTTTGATCAATACCACTATTCAAATCGAACTAAACCAAATAAAAAATGGAGAGATCATATCGGTTTGATTTGGTTTGATTCGGTTGGTTTAAGCCTATTCAACACATAAATAAAACATTATACATTTTAAGAGTTTTATTCTTCTAAACATTCACACATCTTGCGCGTTCCAATTGGATTGAAAGATTAAATTTTTCGGAACATAAAAGTTCATCAAGTCAAATAGAACCAAGTTTCAATTAAATAAAGTCTCATGCTAGCAAACAATTTATTAGCTATAACCTCATATAAGCATGAAATACATATAATCACCTTATTGTTAATAATCATTACAACTTGTAAAATAAACTAATTAATAATTCAAAGAGACATGGTCAGTTCGATTTGGTTTTGATCGATTTTAAAAGTATCAAAATAGAACCAAAAAAAAAAATAAATTGTTTTGGTTCGATTTTTAAATTATTTGTTTTTACTTGATCACCAAACAGACCAAATTAATTTTGTTTGAACCAGTTGATTTGGTCGGTTTAATGCTCACCCCTATCCAAAATGCATGGCTACCAACACTAGATAAATTGTAAATGAGAAATGCTAAGGAGACTCTCTCAAAAGTAGGACTCTCCATAGACTTTCTATCACCTCATGTTTTTTGCACAATATTTTATAATGTTGGCACGAAATTAATGTTAAACTATGACGACCCGTCCTTAATTTTATGATTTTAGTAATTTTAAATGTGAGAATTGACGAAAATGCCCCTAGAGGCGAGGGCGTTGACTTTGTTGACGGTCTTTTTGTGACGCGTTCGAGCTACTATTTCACCGCATTCTCGAACTACTCGACGATACAGACACGTAGGCACAAGCAGAATCGAATTCGGAGTTGCAATGAAAATTTTACAGATTTACGAAGTCGAAGAGCATTTTAATAATTTCATCATCATCCTAAATATTTGGCTCTCTATTATTTTAATATTTTCCCTTGAATTTTTGTCCAGTGGGACTCCCCACTTCTTTTCCCCCAAATCTCATGCCTTCCAAATCACTCGGAACTCTCTCTCTTCCCTATATCTTCTTCCTCTCATCTCTCACCTTTCTCTTCTCTCTGTATAAAAAAAAAAAAAAAAAAAAAGGTGGAGCCGAGCAGTACAACCACCACCTCACCACCTTTCCAGTGAACTACACCTGAACCACCATACCATGTCCCTCTGTCTCTCTCTTGTTATGCATCTTTCTCCCTCAATCTCCATGTCGTCTCTCTCATCTCTACAAACACAGGACAACCGTGAGGTTAAGGTCATCACCATCGCCGTCTTCCATGGCAGATGACCATCGAACCAATGTTCCCAAGATATCATATCATCTGAAACCTAGCCCTAGGTTTAATTCCAGACATCCCAACGGGAATAGCTCTCGAATCTTAGAGTTCTAACACTGCGGAGACTATTCAGCATGGATCTCACCACTTTCTATGAAGGTGAGTGTCGATTATGCTTTGTGTGATCTCCCCCTTGTGGTTTAAAATGACTTTTAGGCTTAATGAGTGAAGTTTGGATTGGTTTCATGACATAAATGGCAAGGGAGGAAGTTTTCCAGATTTCTGGAAAATTAGTAACCGTGGTCATTTGACAACTTTCAGGCCATTTTTTTGGCCAACACCGACCTTAACTCGGCCTCACCTTGGTATGGTGTTTCTCTCTACATTTCTAACTTCAAAATGGCTCTTGAATTATTGATTTTGGTGGAGAATCAAGCTCGATATAAGCTCTGGAAGTCGGACAAAAAACCTGCAAAATGCAGGCCTTCGCAAGGAAGCTGAGTACAATGGTACTTGCAGGCACGTAGGCATGCGTGGGCTTACATGGGTCATCGGCGCGTGGAGAAACCCGAGGTCCCTCTTTAGGTTTCTCGACATGCTGGACCCGAATCCGCCCTCATTTTTCCCCACACTTTGTATGAAAATGTGTTTATACGTTAGTACTTTACGTATTTACATATATGGTTTCGTTTCTAGGCGAAATGCCTCGAAAGGACTCTCGATGCTACGAGTCGGGTTCGACTCAACGACAGGATTTGTGAGTGGGTCTTTTCTTGATACATACATACATACATACATACATACATACATACATACATATATATATATATATATGTTTAGTTTCCATATATACATCTAATAATGAATTTTCTATATGAATGTCATAGTTAAATTAATATTTATAGAAAATGACGTAACGAAGAGAATTAGGAAATCATTATGAATCTTACGGGATGCCTTAGCTAAATTTACGGCTATGAATAATATTATGTTGACTAGAATTATCAAATCATTATGGCATGGCTACATTTATGTTATTTGCTCATCGTTTGCTGCACCGGTGTTAGTACTCGCCTGGGCCAGGGCCAATCTTTCACGTGTATGTGCACATCGCACTGTACGCTCACTTTGGATCCCTTGTAGGTGTCAGTCCTATCGTACAGGTTGCAATAGGCAGCTTCGACTTGTATGTGTTGCGCATAGCGCCAGTCTTCGCATGATTGTAGTACTATAGTGTATATCATTGTTACACCCAGTCCTATTCATGTCAGAATACCTCTGCATGAACTCATGTGTCAGCATGTGTCAATGAGCACTCGATATGAGATGTTTGTTTATGCGAGATTATGTTGATTACGGACATCATGCATTTACTTATGAAATATTGTGCCGTATTTAACTCTTGAGTTATTGCAGGCTATGGTAAGTATGTTCATACTATATGTAGTATGTATATTTTGGAAACTATACTTGTTTTACAGTGAGGGGTTAATTATGTTTTCAAAAATGTTTTTATAAAACTTTATTTTTAGGCCCATTCACCCTTATTTTTCGCCCCTTCAGGTTCTAGTAGCAGAGCTTTTGTACTGATGAGGATTATTGGCAAATCTTGGTGTAGACAATTACATTTGATGGTATAATTCTCACCCTATTTTACTGTACTGTACTCGTGCTCTGATATCACGTGTGAAATAGGTTTATTCCCGCTCACAACGCACTCTTATATTTAGGCACTTTGAGGTTTAAATTTATTCACATTTTCCACATCACTATACTTTATGGTTTCGTCTCTCTCCAGGTGTCGGCCAGCACAGCTCGATTTGAAATCCGAGTGAACATCCCAGGTCGAGATGTGTCATAAACTATGACAAAAAATTCATAAAGAATCTTACTTTGAAAAGTCCGCATTTCTCGTTGTAAAATAGAATCGATTCTGCGAAGCACTAAAACCGATTTAAACCTCAAAGTTTGGCTTCACCAACTTTTACAAAATTAAATTGGTTTCATGCATGTACTTTTGGGGATCCTCCACATACAGTGCCATCCTAAATAAGTGAAATTTTGTCGCATAACTCGATTTTTAGTCATAAAAACTAAAACCCTGTAATTTTGGACACAAGTCATGTATCATTGTGTTCATATCGATCTATCAAAGAAAAAACAAACTAAACTTAATTAAAAAGAAAAACTAATGAAAAGGGTTTGAAAACTTTGAGTTTTAATGAAAATGACAAAATAAATGGTAAAGTGAATAGTACCAGGATTGACTTTTTAGTATAAAAATGTGGTTTTTTGTTAAAATGAACAGTACCATAAACTTTTCGTTAAAGTTCCCTGGACAGCAATGACAAGAGCAGGCTTTGGATTGTCTTTGAGAAATGGCAATGCATGTTAAACCCCATTTAATTATTGAATTGTTGGTTTTGTATATATAAAAAAATTGTTTAATTAAATGGGTTGGCCGCTTTTGTGGGAGAACCATGCACGTGTGTAATCACATCCATTCCATAGTATCACATCTAAGAGTTTGTTCTTGATCAATTTATTAATCTCTTCTTTAATTTCCAAGTTATATTATATTGATACATGATCGTGAATGATGACGAGCTTAAGCAATTCCACATGCCAATCTCAGTCCTCAATCAATTGTTGACAATGATGAAGAATTTTGGATTGTCGATCCTTGACGTGACTAATTCATTTTAATTTAGGTATCTACTTCATGATCAAGAAGTGCATGCGTACGGAGTTTACGTGTTTGATACGATGATGTATTTAATTAAAATTTGTGTATATTTAGGTTAAGTTATACAATGAAATAATAATAATTCGATTCAAATTAGTTATTTATAAAAGTTAAATTTAAAATTCAATACAACTACATCGTAGAAATAAGTGATTCCATTTTATTTCATAGTTTTTATTAAAAGGAAATTATGGACAAGTTGTATTTTTGTATATGTCAAAAAAATGTAAGAGAACGCTAATTACTGTTAAAGTTGCGACAGAAAAGTAAGAACCATGTGATGCATGCGGGGTGTTTCAAGTGTATGTATCATCTTCAAGCCAAACAAAAGCATGCTTCATGTGAAACCATAAAAAGTACAAGTCATAAAAAATGATGAATCACTATTTATTACTACGATATAGTAGTATTCTTTTTCACTTATAAGTGAGAGTCTTAGATTTGATTCTTAAAAAAAACGAATTTGAACCACATTATTGCTAGTCCATTGTGAGGCTAAGTCCACCTATTCGCCCTTAGTGTAGATAATATCGTTCATTAAAAAAAATGATGAATCAAGGGGCGTGTTGAGAATAAATCTCACATTAATGAGACAAATGACCTTGCATGTGCTTATAATTAGTTAGGCTACTCCCCATATTACCAATTGATTTTATAGTAGAACCCAAACTTCTTCATGAGTAAAACCCACATTGATGAGATGAGGGACTTGCATGGGCTTATAAGTAAGTTGGGATACTTCCCATATTGCCAATAGATTTTATGATGAAACCTCAACTTTCTTCATGGTATCAGAGCTGGTTGTCCCACTATAAAGCCAAACAACCACGTCACCCTGTTGTGTGTCCACATGTTAGGCTTGAAAATTCGCCACACGTGAGGGGTCGTGTTGAAAATGAATCCCACATTAATAAAATGAGGGACTTTACATGGGCTTATAAGTAAGTTGGGCTCCTCCCCTTGTTTCTAATTGATTTTATGATGGAATCTTAACGAGTCTATAAAACTCCATTAAAATCGATGAATTTATAACTCTTTTAAAATCTTTCAAAATCTCAATTGAATATACAGTTTCTTCAAATGTTAATCACTAACTAATATGTCTTGGTAAATTAGATGACAATATTTCTTAAATTGTTAATAATTAAGATTCAAATAATGTTAGAATGACAGATTCACCTTTTTTTTTATGCAAGTACAGTTTCTAGCTGTTAGATTGCCAAATTTATCCTTAATCATAACCGCATATGAAATCCGAATTTTGTACCTAAGATTCATCCCCTATACAAATATATGATGCATGTATTTTGAATTGCCCTTGAAATGGAAGACAGTTAATCACAGTCAAAAGCATGTTATGGTAATAATATGTGAAACAGGTCCTTATATTCTCCAATTTTTAACGTAGGATTCACACTCTCTCTCGCAATATTGTTAACCCTACCCTAGTCACAATCTCATGAACCGGCAAAGCTCTCACTATATATCTCCCCATCATCTAAAAGAAACGAGACAGAGATGTAGAGGCAGACAAAGAGATACCATGAAGTTGCCTTCCACCTACTCTTTCTCTCTTTTAGCTTTATTCTTCTTCCACTGCTCTGTCTGCTCCCATGTCCCACCTCCTCCCCCTCTCTATCTCCTTCACCTTTCATGATCATCTATTCCTTCTCTCTCCTCCTCCTCCTCCTCCTTCTTCCCCAATTATCTGATCTCTCTCTCTCTCTCTCTCTCTCTCTCTCTCTCTCCATGCATATCCTATAGCTATCTATACTACATCTACTGTGCTCTCATTTTCCAAAACCCTAATATGGCTAACATATCAACCCTCTTCAACAAGTTCCTCTCTCTCCTCATCCTCATCCTCCACCTCGGCTGTTTCTCTTCCACCGCCACTGCCAACCACCCAAAAAAGCCTCATCACCGCCGTAAACTCTCCACTCACCTCTCCAAACCCAGCACCCTAAAACCCCAAAAAGCCCTCTCCACCTCCTGGTCCTATCTCAAACGCATTTTCACCTCCAAATCCTACAAAATCACCTGCACCAACATCATCCAATCCCACCTCTCCACGCCACCTCGATCCTCCCACCACTCCATCGTCTCCCTCGTCCTACCTGACTCCGACCCCAAATACCTACCTGGGTCGCTCCCCGAATCAGATATCTCGGCCGATTCCCACCAATTGTTCCCTCTCCGAAACGATATCTTCCCCTGCACCGCCTGCGGGGAAATCTTCCCGAAACCCGAGACTCTCGATCACCACCAGGCGATCCACCACGCCGTTTCGGAACTTCATGACGGAGACTCGGGCAAAAACATTGTCCGAATCATATTCAAAACAGGTTGGACCGATACGCGAAAAGCCCCCGAAATTCACCGGATCCTGAAGATCCACAACAGCGGAAAAATCCTGTCGAGGTTCGAGGAGTACAGAGAGCTGGTCAAGTCCAAGGCGGCGCGAAACGGCACCGTTCGGAGGAGGGATGAGCGGTGCATCGCCGACGGCAACGAGCTTCTCAGATTTCACTGCTCAACTTTCGTTTGCGATTTGGGACTCAACGGGAATTCTGGGATTTGTAATCACGAGTACTGCAGTGTTTGTGGAATTATTAAATCTGGATTCTCACCCAAGTTGGACGGAATTTCCACGCTGTCGAGTAGCTCCAGAGCACACGTGGCAATTCCAGAGGATATCGAGGAGGAGTTTCAGTTCATGAACGTGAAGCGGGCTATGCTGGTCTGCCGGGTCGTGGCGGGTCGGGTCGGGTGTGACACTGAGGAGGATATTGACGACGTGGACAAAGAGGGCGGCGGATTCGACTCGGTTGTCGGCAGAGAAGGCAGCGGGGTCCACACGAGGGTGGACGAGGAGGAGCTTTTGGTGTTTAATCCAAGAGCCGTTCTTCCTTGCTTTGTGATCGTATATACCGTGTAACGGTGTGATAATTTAAGCGCTCGATGCATGAAATCTAAACTTGTATTAGTCCTTATTTTTAAGCAAGGATTGTGAATATATTTTGGTCATGTGTGGTGTTGATATTGTTTGATTCACCACAGGTTTTTTCCTAGCCTGTGACTATAAACATGTCACGGCTGCCATCATCATGATTTTGATTTCTTTTTATTAATTTTGGTATGTGGATATATTTTTATTCTTGCTATAATATATATTAGGACGATGAACTGTTGATGTTAATTGTTAAGTGTGTGTGGAGTGTGTAGGTTGAGCTGCAGCGCCTTGTGGCCTTGTCGGCTTGTCGTCCTATCCCATTTAACATGTTACATGTGATATTTGGCTTGGATTTATTTGGTAATCGGTGCATCCTACCATGTTAATTATCGCTATGGACTAAATTTGTAGAGTAAACTTTGTAAACTAAATAATATGGAAGTTGATGATTGGATTATTATTTAAATGTTGATTAACATGCTTATTTTTTATTGGTTACACATCATTTGGTTTACAAATTTAGTATACCTAACATTACTCTATTTTGTATACTAATTAGTAAAACCTTTCTTGAGAGCAGGATTTTTCTCCTATTTTCGTGTGTTTTTAATCAGTGTAACCCTGTAAAATTTCACTTCTAATTGTTTTCATTGAATAAAAGTGATTCTACCAATTGTTTATAGCACTACGATTTGGTAAATATTTTTCTCTATTATTGAGAGTGTGGGGTCTTATGTTCGACCTACATGGATAAGGGGTTCGATATTTAATTTTATATTATGACCTATTTATTGCATAGCTTAATACTAATCAGTCACTTCTAAGATTAAAATATCGTTTGAATAAAAAAAAAGGATGATTTTGGATTGACATGTCTCTTGGAGGTGATCAACACATGTCATGGTTCATGGTTTAGTAACTTGATCCTTGAACCTTGTGGGCCTTTAAGCCCATCTCAAAAAATTACGATTATGTATCATTTTAACAGGTCAATAAAGGACTTTGCGTTAATACTGATCCAATAGCGTTCAATTGAGATGGGAAAATTTGAACTGATGGCTATAGTATAAGATAAAATCATATGGGTGCGTTTGTTGCACTAGACTAGCTTTAGAGATTAAGTTAGAATGACTTAGAATAGACTAAGTTAAATTAACTTGGTGAAGCATTTGATGGGACAAAAAAAAAGGATAATGAAAATTTCATAAATTTACATAATCAACAGAATAAACCAAAGTTGATTATGTAAGATTAATTTTGATAAATGTGAAGATTTGAGTCACCTTGGCAGCTTTTTCATCACCCAACAAAACCTCAGGAGTTGTTTCAGTAACTTCAAAGCCACAGTCATGGTAATTGCGAATGAGAAGAAGACAACGGAGATGACACAGTCGACGAGGTCATTGTCGAAGATAAAGCAGTCGATGAGGTCCTCTATGTATATGAAACAGTTGGTAAGGTCGTCATCGAAGATGAAGCTGCGCTTGAAGCCCTTGCCGTCGAAAATCGAAGTAAAGGAGGACGAAGCCCAATTGGAGGTGAATCGGATAACGCAGCTCGTGGGTTGTTCGATTGAGGTTCGAATCTGAGGTCTTGTTCGTGATTTTGGGTTCGGGGCGAGGAGAGAGAAAAAGAACCCAAGCATAGAGTAAAGAGGGGATGTGAGCAGAGAGTAGAGAGATGAAATGAGCACGACGAAGTAAATGTCTTAGCTAGTCCCATGGTTTTCGTGGGTCTTGCTAAGAGTGGTTAGCTTGGTCTTGAGTCGAGACGAGTCCTCCCTAATCCCATTAAAGCTAGTCCCATAAAGTGACAAACACGTACTGCACCAATATTTAATCTAGTCCAGTTCAATGAGGGCAAACTTTCTAATAATCCAACTATTGTTTAAGAAATCTTACCTTGTTCTCCAAGCCACACGTTCATACCTGAAATATCAAACATCCAAAAAAGCTATGTGTTCGGGCGAAGATTTCTCTGGAAATGATCCTCAGACCTCAATACAGCTCCCTAAGGGATTAGCACTTTGGATGTGTAGTCAGGCTCTTGCTTGTTGATGTGCTAGAAGAAGAGGACAAAGTTAGTCCTGAAAGGTACCTTTGTAGGGCCTTAGGTGTGGGCCTTGAGGCTTGTAATCAAAACTAACTGAGTGCTAGGCGTGCCATTGCTATCTCAGTATAGCAAATGTAGAACAAAAGTGTTTTAAGTCGATTACTTGCGTCCCAAGTTACTCGGACTTCTTGTTATCAAAGGATTGTCGTGGATGGGTTAAGTTCACATTAAGTTCTTTTTCTTGCCTTGTAAACAAGGACTTTTAGTTCATAGTCTTGTATGTTTAAATGAAAGGAGTCCAGATCCTCTTAAGTCATTTGTTTGGTCCTATATTGCTTTTAATGATAACATATCCATTAAACAAACCAGATCCAAATGCAAATGGAGCTTTTAAGATAGGAAAACTGATGGAAATAACTTGAATACATACTAGAGAATGCATTAAGTAATAGATCTATTAACTAAGAAAACGAACAAAGAGCTTCGGGTAAGATTTCACCTTGTTTGTCAAGGTTGAACCTCTTGCAATCACTTCTCTTTGAATTAACAGGGGTTTATATGCTAAAAAGGGATGGATGGTAAACAAGTTTACACAAGGGAATCGATACTATGCCACTAAGGGAGATATCAGAGCTGTAAATTGGATAAGAGATAGCTTGTCGCTAAAAATAACTGAATCTAGGTTGATTTTAGCTTTTGAATGCAAATCTAGCTTGAGAGCAGAGTTTGTATATTTGTTTGTTTGATTGGTTGAGTGTCCTTATCTCTGGGGCCTCTTCTTCATTTTATAGGCAAATTAGCCCAATTGCTGTAACTTTGTTCTTGCCCGAAAACACTTGGAGAGTAGTGAGTCATCAGCTTTTTACTTGGAATACCACTAGAAAGTGTTCTTTGGCTGGTAGTAGGTTAGGCTTCATCACTTGTTACTTCAATAATAAGGACGTGGCTTGCATTTTGGCTGAGAAGACTTCACTTTGCCTTTGGGCTTGGTATTGGGCTTCGGGCAAGTCCCATTTTAGTTGGCATCATTGGGCTTTCCTTCATCTAAGTCTAATGTTCAAATATTAACCCAAACAGTGCACCCTTTAATCATTGTTGAGTTTGTAACCCAAGATGCTAATAATAATTAAATAGTTATCGCACGCCTTCAGTCGGGACTTGCACCATTTAAAATAGTCGTTGTGAACTAAACCTTTGCACTAACCCACAAATTATATCCTTAAGTAACCACTTACTATATAATTCTCACTTAAACCCTTTGGCTAAATACCTTAGCAACTTCAAACTTTCGAATTCCCAAAACTTCCCAGAATTCTCAGAGCCTTCAGACTTTCCAGAAACTTCCCTCGTTCTTTAATTCTTGCCCTTAAATTCTGATTTTCTTCCCATCTTCTCCTTAAAATCATCCAATGGCACCCAAAGTTGCTTGAACTTAATCTCCTTGTGAAACTGGTGAGGTGATTTCCACCATGTGCCGTTTGCTCAACTGCCTTCATCGCCCTTGGGCAGGCTTGCATACTAAACTCTTCTTTGAGGAGGGATGAGTGCACTCTTTGGGGCCTACATGGACCTATCCAATCCAAATTGTTGTTGAAAACAACATGCCTAAGGAGAAATGGTTCACCCTGAACCCATTTTTGGCCGAGTCGGGCATCTCCTCATCCAAATGGTCAAATCATCGCCGTGGGTTCCCTCTGATGAAGGATGAAGGATAGATGCAATGGATAAATGAGCTATAGCCAACCTTCAAGCAAAAATGGATGAACAACAGTATCTATGAGTTGATAATGCTCTCTTAGACCACCATGATCATTAAGCCCGAGTTTCTCACTACAGCCCTCATCTTCTGGAACTCGGGCACCAATACCTTCAACTTTAGGATGGGCCCTATGTCCTTGACTATCCTGGATATAACGCAGGTCTTTGTGCTCAGGCCCTCGAGCAAGGTTATAGACGTCAATCACGACTGAGCACATTCTTCTCGCCTGACTACTGAGAGCTCAGGCAGCTCTGGTTCCATAATTCAATTGGAGTATAACTCTACGACTTTCAAGAGTTATGGGACCTCTTTCACGGGTTTTATCACGCTTGTGAAAAAAGGAATTTAGCCCATCATTCTCTAACGCTAACAGAGATCAGGAGCATATGTATTTTTTACTATACTAGCTCAACAAGCATGTTTTCCCCCAACAAGTCCAAGGGAGTAAAAGTCGAGTGGTTCTGTTTTGCATAATTTCAATGATATGGCAACGAGCCCACCTCTTTGCTCATCTCTATCATCTCATGTATGAGATTACCAAGGGTGAACCATTTGAAACCAACCTTAATCGTCCTACTTAGATGATTCAACTTTGGCTTCAATGATATTTCCTTGAGCTTCAAGCTCCCAACCTTGAATTCCCCGATGGTGTTGCTCATGCCCAAATTCTAGCCAAAGGCTCTCCAACCAATCACTCTACATTCGCTTGTCTCTATTTCTTCAGAGTCTGCAGGACTCGGGCAAACTTGGAGTGATGAGCTTCAATGTTGAGGAGATACCCTTGGTTTTCTGACCAAGCATTTCAAGACGTCTTTGGAGAAGATGCCAGCCTCTTCTGTAGAGAGAAATCTATTAGCTGCATCCAGTCGAGAGACCTGGCTTGGGGTGTGAGGAGGGGCCGCTACGAGTATGGGCTAGAAGTTTATCATCCAAACTTCTGTAGCAGGCAGCTGGGCTTTAGACAAGCTATTCCAATCCTCTTCTTTGACTATGTTCAATGTGGCACCTCCTACCATCTTCACTCTCCTCCAAAAGTCACTTTTCAAGCTGCCCGACGAAGCCTTGAGGTCATAAGCAAGGTTGCCAGAAAACCTATGGCCCTTAATTTCGAATGTACTTCAAGCTTCTCTTCTTGATGGGAAACAAAGTGGACCAAGAAGTATGGAGGATACTTACGCGAAGCATATGACCGTGTTTTCAAGCATCTCTCTATCAAGTCTTATCCTAAGCCGAGTGAGCTTGAAAGTTGGAAGGAAATGATTCATCAGAAGAACCAACTACTTCTGATAGGTACCTCTTACTTCTTTAACTTGTAATTTTATGAAATTTTATGAATCTACCTTCTTTTAATACTTTTCTTGGTTTCCCTACACTTGCAACTCAAGGCAACCCAGCCGAGATGG